TTACTGTAATCAACATAAGGCATTTTAATAAATTTTCCCTTATAAAAAATCTTAGAATAAAATGAATTTTTATCTTCTAAAAGCTGCATTTTATTCATATTATCAACATTAAGTTACTCATATATGTATGCATATAATTACTCAATATTATTCCATGTTTAATATTATATATACATATGTTTGTACATATACATATATGTATATACATATTTATTTGTTTTATAATGTATTATGCATTTTTTATTTAATCATTTATTTTTATACTGAACTAAGGCCACCAAAACAACGTTATCAATTCAGGGCTACAAATCGTAACAGCTTTTTTTCTTGTTTTTTTTTTTTTGCGAATTATTGCATTAATAAACGAAACTTTATTTACATATACACATCCATCTGAAATATGCAAAGTACGTTGTCGATCCATACGTCGTGACTAGAGTCCATAATGATAAATACACATTTATCGCCGCTTTCAATCACTAACATGGGCGGCACACACACACACACATACATACATACACACTAGAGCGAGATATTTAGCGCTTGCTGCGACTGGATGAGTTTATTCACCACACACATAACATAATACACAAATTAGTATTATAAACAAATGATTTCTATAAATATCGTTTATAGAATAACTTGCCCTAAACGAGTATAAAAAAAAATTAGAAATGAAAATAAAAAAAATAAATAAACACAGCAACAAATAATAAAAACTTACAATTCTAAAAGAAAACCAGAAGTTTTGTTATAAAAACAAAAAAGCAAAAAAAAAACTTGTTCTCCATGTGACTATGTTTTTGTTTTGTGGAACATATTACGAATTGTTGTAGGAATGAATCTTTATTCGGAACGACCGTTTGTGGAATTTAAGTTGCTATTTTCTTACTAAATACTAAACTGGTTCGTTCTCCATGTGATTCCAATGCCTTTTTAATATATGCAACAGCACATCAGCACATTTGTTTGCATTCTTATTGCTGATTGCTGGACTGGACTGGACTGGAGTGGACTGTTAAATCAATAATAAGAATCTAGTGAATTCCTAAAACTTGTATCTCCTGAACGTTTCTCTAACGAGACGAGTCTTTTAAGTGGCGAAACTGGACAACAACGTTTTGTGCTTGGAGTCGCTTGACATCGCGCACTTATCGTTTAAGCTAGTTTTGCTTATGACCAAAATGTAAAACCAGTTACAAGTTTAAAATGTAGTAGAAAAGAATTATTGCAAAAAACAAAAAAAAAAACACAAACAAAAAAAAAATATCCCGCTTTGTGAATTTCTTGTTTAGCTGGTTTTCTTAAAACAATAAAACAACAAAAAAAAATTCGTATTAAAAAAAAAAATCATGCTTTGCCTCAATCGTCACGAAATTAAAACGCAGCGTACAACTCGTCGTCGACGTCGTCAACGTCGTCCAACATACAAACCAAATAGTTCAAGCGTACGTATAGCATATACACAATGAACAGCACACATTTCACCACTACTGTTACAAAAATGACGTATGCATTCATAATTGATTCAAGAAATCCACATCACCCCTTATTCAGGTCTGGGCTACTGGTTCTGCAACAATGACTTGTACAAGGCATTCTCGTATTTACACATCATGATACAAAAAAAAAAAAAATGAAAAAAAAGGCATACAAACTCAATTACACTTCACCTTACGTTTTACCTCACTGCACCGGATCGTAATACATTTTATGGCATACACGTTGTTGCTTTTGTTGTAAATATTTTCTTTGTGCGGCTCCACTGAGAGCATGCGAGTAGCAGATGTTTTTTCTCTATTATTATTATTATTAGTATTTTTTGCTTTTTATTTATAAATTTTGGTGTTTTTTTTTTCGGTTTTTGCTGCTGACGTTTTTGTTGTTTGTTTGGATTTCAATTCAATAAAATTGCCTTAATTCTTAATTTTGTGAAAATATTTTTTTTTCTTTCGTTTCTCATTTTCATTTTTGTTATTGTTTTTTGTTGTGTTGCCATGTAGCATGCTGTGTTTTTGCTTTTATTTTTATTTTTGTTTTTTGTTTTTTTTTTTGTTTTTGTTTTATTAAAAACACAGTGCATGCAGCCAGCGTATGTATCTCAGAATTTATATATAACAACAGAAAAGTTTATTTATCTTCTCATTAGGCAAGAAATCGAATGAAAAATGTTTTGTTGATAAAAATAATTTTCTCCATTCTCCATTCGTTGTGGAACAAAATTTTAATTTTCAAATATTCCAGCACTATAATTCCATGTATATATAGTGTATATATAGTATATATATTCATTCTATCATTGTTATGTTAGCATGTATCAGATTCTATTTTTACCATCGTATTAATAGAGGGAATTTAGTGTTTACCTCACCCACCAACACCCCACAAAATATATTTCTCGATTTCATTTTGAGAAATTTTATTAAATTTATTAACACTTATATACATATATCTATTTATATATACGCACGTATGTTTATGGGATCTCAACAAATGTATTATAATTTAAAATTAAAATATTAATCGATTTATTGTTATCGATAACAGATAACAGATCTTAGATCAATCACTGAATAATCATGAAGCTTATAAGGAATACATAAATTAGTCAATGAGATGGGTGGGACCCTGTAGTATCTACCCCCAGCTATCAAAGATTAAAAGTGCCCAGTTGCGCTGACACGAAAAAAGGATCAACATACATACTTGCTAGGATTATGTACAGTTGATCTATAGTCATTTAATTTTAAATCGAAATTATACAATTTAAATGTCTAATTAGATATTCCAAAAATTATAATTTACATATGTATGTATAGACACATATATTCTTATAGCACAAGAGTGCTTATAGTCCGCGGTGTATCATTATCCCACCCTATCGCGCAAGAGTTCTAATAGATTGCGATGTAGCATTTTTCCATTTTATAACGGATAAGTTGTAATAGGTCCAGGCGTATCATTGTCTTCATCTTATAGCGCAAGAATTCTAATAGGTCGTGGTTTAGCATTGTTATATCGTATAACATAAAAATTCTTATATGTCATCCTGATAATAATCCCATCTTATAGTGCAAGAGTTTTAATAGGTCGCGGTATAGCGTTCGAATTGTAAAGCAAACGAAAGTCTAAGTCAGTGTGAGACTTCAACCAACTAAAAGTATCCCGTTGTCAGACGGTTAACTCCCTCGGGATCACCGATTTGTTATTTCGTAAAGAGACTGTCGAGAGCACGAAGTTCAAACGTTTGTTTTTATTGTTATTATGCAATGGACTACATTTTTTTTATACTGTGTATCTCCATATATCATCGTTGCAGCAGGGTTATTGCAGATAACACACTTCATCTGGGATTGTGAAACTTCATCTGATCTGTCTATGTTTATCGTTGGCTAGGAGAAGATTCAAATTCTTCAGAGCATCTTTTCTTATGACATTTTCTATAATGACATTTATCGGGGGTATGTCGTGTCAGCGTCCATCAATTTTTCAGGGACTCTTTTTCTTACCAATCAAACATACTTTTTATTCTATAAAATCAGAAACTTGGCAAAGATGATTGGATTTGTCAGATTGGTTTACTTTCACTTGAATAGAGGAGTCGTGCGTTTAGCGTTATTTGTACGGTGATCACTGATTCTGAATTTATGGGGATTTACAAAAAAACAATTAAAGTATTTGTATATAAATATATTTTTGTACTTAACAATGGCTTCATGTTATATACAAAGAAATTCTGTGATAAATACTCTGAAATTCTATTTTGAGATTTTTTCTTCAAGTTTATCTGTACTAAATTTTAGATAAAATTATTAATATATATTATATCTATTTCATAAAAAGTGCAAGATATTTCTTATTTCAGATAATATTTTAAAATTGTACATATCCTTAGCAAACTATTCCACAACTTCTTAGATATATTATGATTACAAATTCGATAACTAATAATCGATATCGTTGTTATTCTATTATGTTATCATAAAATAACATAAAATTTTATTTTGCTTGGATTTTCTATGAAATAACACTTTTAAAAAAGTTGATTTCACAGATGCTAGCATTCTGTTACATAACTTATTATTATTTTAAATTCGATAACTGATTATCGATATCAATATGTTATTTTTTCTTTACGTAGAGTGACAGCCTTATGTACTTAAACTCATTTAGGCATAAATAATGGCGCGTTATATTACCATGGTTTAGACATTCAGACTCGTAGAACCACTTAAAAAAAAGGTGGAGGTCCCAAACATCTAGTGAATGAACGATGCCTATCTGAGAAGACGCTATTCTCCAATTCAAGTAACATTATTAATATAACATAAAAATTAAAACTTGTAAAAGAAGTGATTTCCAGAAAAGATCTGGAAAAGTTTCTGTTACAAAGTGTTAGGATTTTCTGAGAAATATTTTTTAGTTTAGAATATACACACATATGCGTGCATTTACAAAAGTTCCACTTTTAGTGATACTAGTAGCGTACTAGTTAAGATTATTAAGACGATCCTAGTACTCTACTAAGGTCTGTTGGTGGTCCTTTTGTTGTACTTAACTATTATTTCTATTTAAGTATATAAAGTGGTTTGAGTTGTGTATTAGTTTAGGTTGTACAAGATGAGTTCTTGTACAGTAGTTCTTTAAGGTCTGTTGTTGGTTCTTGAGTTGTAATTACCTATTAACTCTTAATATTTTAAAAGAAATTCACTGATCAGTGCCACACACCAAAAAACGTCAAACTTGTGAAATCACAAGTTTTTTTCTTAAGTATTTATTTCTTTATCGAAACCAAATAATTTCATATAATTCTTTTAAATTCTTTTTTTTTTTCTAATTTTTATTTCCACATACTTTTATTTTAAATGAAATATTTTCTTTTTTGTACTTAATGTTTTATTTTTATTTGTGTATAATGTATGTTACGGTGCAAATAAATACTTATTGAAAATACATATATTTTTTCCATTTCTCGGGAAAAAATTTTATATGATTTATAGTTTTCTCAACGCCACATCCGGCCGTTTCGCTGGGCAATTCGACGCCTCCAGCCTTACCAACGTCACAACCACAACCTCTACCACAGTCAATAGCACCACCACCTCTACCACAATTATCAACAACAGCCTGTTCAGTTACACAATTAGCACAAAGTCCGATGGCTAATTTAATGTCAATTACAGAGACATTGCCGCCAGGTAGTCCACGCAATGGACCCAGCCCACCAGGACCTCCACCACCGCGTACAGCTTCTCGCGGTAGCCAACATTCACCGAATAGTTCGGGTGAGTTTGCATTAATTAAGCAAACTAACATATAATACAATTTTATTATTCTTTCAAAATTTATATTTTAAAATTTAATTTTAAATTTAATTTTTTTTTTTTTTTGTCATTACAGCAGGCTCATCATCCGGTCGTCGTTCTTCTGGTTCTCGTCATGTTTCTAGCACAACTGTTACCAGTTCGGAAGTGCAATCAAATCAGCCAAATGCTCCACAAGTTGGCCCTGGTGGCTCAGTTAATGTAAGCAGTGGTGGGGGTGCAGGACCATTGCCACCCGGTGCTAACGGCGGACCAGATGCCGGTACTGGACCCAGCGGTAGCAATGGCACAGGACAGTCAGCTCCTGGCATGAATTCAACAGCAACAGCTCCAGGCGCTGCTGCACCTACTTCAGCACAAAATGCCACATTGAAGTGCACATTATGTCAGGAACGTTTAGAGGATACACACTTTGTGCAGTGCCCCTCGGTTAATCATCATAAATTCTGCTTTCCCTGCAGTCGGGAGAGTATTAAGAGACAAAATGTAAGTTAGAAATCCTTAACACGTTATATGGATTATGTTTAATTATGGATCTTATCTTTATACTACAGGGTCTCGGTAATGAGGTGTATTGCCCAAGTGGTGATCGTTGTCCCTTAGCAAATTCCACCATACCATGGGCATTTATGCAAGGTGAAATCACAACAATATTGGGTGAAGAGGTTAAGGTGAAAAAAGAACGTGAGTCTTAATGTCCATTTTATTGTAAGAAGCTACGACGAGCTTTGGAGAAGTTTTAAACAGTTTCAATACAACAACAAAGCGATAACAATACTACTTTAACAACGAGCATTTTCAATATGAAATGTTTGCAGTTTTAACTAACATATCCCAGGAGTCTGCCAACATATGGCAACTCGAACATTTTATTCAGCTAAAACTGTAATGTTGCCAGATTTTCATAGATTATTATAGAGATCTACTGGTATTTGGCATACCAAATAAAAATAAACTACACACTTTTGGTGTTGGAGGATTCACAATTTTTTGTCCAGAAATGACTCCAACTAAAATAAAATTTTTTGTAAAATGCAGTCAAGTTAATGTTGCAGGACTTTTTGGACACCAGTGAACTTTTTAACGGATAAATATTTATATATATTGTACGCAGAACGGATTGACTGTACTAAGGATTTTGTAAATATGAAATATTTTATAATTTTTATAATAAAAAAAAAACTATTTATAAAGCAATCAAATAAGCTTACATTTTAAGTCTTTATATATATATGTGTACCTACCTATATATATATATTTAAATCTATGTGTATACTTACATATTACATGTGTAATTTGAGGAATATGAGTTAGTTTTAATTAATATGTGGACACATTGTTTTATTCGTAGGATGTAGTTTAAATATCTGCTGTAATTGTAGTTGGTTGTTCCTATGCAACAACAGATACACCGATAACTTTAGAAGAGTCTATAAACGATCACATAAATATACAAATGTTTATTATTCTATATATGTACATCAGTATACAAAAATCATACACATACATAATACTACATACCTAAAAACAATAACAAACAAATAAATATTTAAGAATTATTGCGAAAGATATACATACATATATGCATACATATATGAAAAATACTAAATTAGCTAAAGTAGAGTTTGTAGAATCGAAAGTTCGAGATAAAGTTTTAATTTCATAAGACCACCCAATATATATACTATAATTATGATTCATTATAACTATAAGTCGATGAGATAATACAGATAAATACAGATATAGATAAAGATAAAGATAACAGAAGCAAAGCGGTTTGTTATAATTTACATATAAGGAAAAATTAATATATTAACCGTATTGAACTATGTAAATGTTATTCAATAAATTTATGTATGTAAAATTAATAATTTAAGTAAACAAACAGAAAACAAACAAAACAAAAGAAAACAAAACAAAACAAAAATATTAAACACAAATTAATGGATTAAAATATTTATGTTTAAATGAAACACTTTTTGTGATATAGATACAAAACCAATATGAAACTAAAAAGTTTTACATTAAAAATTTTATTTAAAAATTAAAAATTAAAAATTAAAATAAATTATTAAAAGTAAAGTAAAGTAATAATAATAATATTGATAATATTGATAATGGAAACATTATAAGTGTTTTTAGTAAAAATTCAGTAGCAATAATATATGAGTAAATTTATATAAAATCTTTTATATTTATATTTGCATTAATTAAAAAAAAAAACTTACAATTAAATTTAAATTTATATTAAAAAAATTGTAACAAAAGCCAACAAAGCAAAAGCAGAAGCAACAGCAAAACTTTTGTAGCAGCCACAATAGCAAATTGTCCGACGTGTTGCACAAATTTGGAATTGGGTGAATCCCAAACAAAATATTTTTTTTGATTGCTTTCAGAGCAAATACTAAATAAAATTTATAAACAAAATGAAAAATGAAAACTTTTGCAACGCAGTTTGAAATGCGTTAAAACTAAACTTAACTATTAAAAATTAATTAACAAATCAAATTGTCAAAGTATTAGTAAAAAACCAATCCAATCAAATTGATTAAAACATTTAAACTAAATGTGTAAAACTAAACTAATTTATGTGTTTAATGTATTTAAAAACAAAAATAAAAATATATATGTATTTAAAGCTGAAATAAAATCAACTTGAAAAATCTTTTTTCGAAATAACTATGTACATTTATATTGAACTTGAACTCAGTGTAAATATTAATATAGAGCACTTTTCTCTGCTAAATTCATAGAAGTGACTCCATATACTTACTTACTTAGTTGACCATTACAGACGTGGGTCGTCCTTGGCCGCGTCAAGTAGCCTCCGCCAGTCAGCCCAATTAGTTGCTTTCTGACACCAGTTGGTAGTACCGAGCGCCTCCAAATCGTTTGTCACCTAGTCTTTCCACAGAAGATGCGGACGTGCTTTTTCGCGTTTTTCACCTGCGGGTACCGAATCAAATACCTTTCTAGCCAGAGCACTTTCTTCCATTCGCACGATATGACCAAGCTAGCGTAGCCGTTGAATTTTTATGTGCTTAACTATGTCAATGTAGCGGTATAGCTCATACAGCTCATCATTCCATCTAATTCGATACTCGTCGCCAACGCGTAAGAGACCATAGATCTTCCGAAGAATTTTTCGATGCGGACGTCCCCTTTCGCGTTTTTCACCTGCGGGTACCGAATCAAATACCTTTCTAACCGGAGCACTTTCTTCCATTCGCACGATATGACCAAGCCAGCGTAGCCGCTGAATTTTTATGCGCTTAACTATGTCAATGTCGCGGTATAGCTCATACAGCACATCATTCCATCTAATTCGATACTCGTCGCCAACGCGTAAGGGACCATAGATCTTCCGAAGAATTTTTCTCTCGAATGCTCTTAACGTCTTCTCATCACTGTTGGTAATTGTTCAAGCTTCTGCACCACACAGCAAAACAGGCATGATAAGAGATTTGTAGAGCGTGATTTTTGCTTGTCAAGAGTGGGATTTATGTCTCAATTGCTTACTTAGCCCGAAGTAACATTTGTTGGCAAGACTAATTCTTCGTTGAATCTCTAGGCTGAAGAGTGACTCCATATAAGGTAATCAATTATTGTTCATACTGCCACATGAATAAGAATCACGTCTAAACATTAAGAAATAGGCCTATGTAGTTGCGTATCGGAGGATTTTTAAAGGTGTGCATAACATAGTTCCTTTTCTGCTAAATGCACAGAACTAAAGCCGTATATAATAATACCTAAATATATTATTGCTAATAACATACATACTATAATATTGCTGATTATGAATAGATAACAGAGGCACCACTACTTATAAAAAGGTTACGTTTAAACACTAAAAAGTAGGTCTATATTGATACCTCACATGAATAGCAGAGTACCACTGCTTGCACAATAGAAATATTAATCTTCTTCTTCTTCTTCTTCTTGAGTTAGTGCTATTACGCACTTTTACTCTATAATGGCTGGGGGGTTTATCACTACCCCACACTAGGCTTTAACTAGGCTAAAAAATCATATCATTTATTTATCTTTCAGTTGATGACGGACCTTAAATCAGCATATCTTCCTGAGAGTCCAGAAGTGGACTTGAGGATTGTTATGGCGGGGTTAAGTAGCGTATCAACTTTAGTGAATAATTTTAAAGCTCTGTCTCTGATATATTTTTTCACTGAGTCAATCCTAAGATCTCTATGTATGTCCGTAGATCTAATGTACCATGGAATCTTAAACAGTTTTCTTAAGGCCAGGTTTTGAGCTATCTGTAATTGCTTTAAGGTGGTATTTGAGGCTTTGCTATATGTAACACATCCGTACAGAAGTGCAGGTCTAATTACTTGCGTATAAAGTAACTTTCTGTTTTTAAAGTTGAAGTGATAATTATTAAATAGCGGCTTTAATAAATGTAGAATCTTAGAGCAGCTATTCCGTTGGTATTTCAAATGTTTAAGCCAATTGAACCGTTTGTCAAAAGTGACCCCCAGATATTTTATGTTATCCTCCCACCGTATCTCCGTGTCGCAAACGCTCACTCTTGGAGGATGCTGTCTTCTTTTTCGAGTTATAAATATAGCCTTGGTTTTGTCATTATTAATTTTAATCTTCCATTTTTGGAAGTATTCCACCATAAGGTCTATATTTCCCTGTAACGTGTTGCTTACATTTAAGGCATCCCGATCCGAGTAGATCAAGCATGTGTCGTCTGCGTAAAGCGCCATTGATGTGGGACTTAAGGTGGGGATGTCTGCCGTGTATACATTAAACAATGTGGGAGACAAAGGCGACCCTTGAGGTACACCTGCTACAATTGATCGGGCGGACGAAAGAGTGCTATTAATTTTAGTACGGAAGGACCTTTCTTGCAGGAAGCTACCAATGATTTTAGTCAAACCACTAGGGATCCCAAAACGGGCTAATTTGACTATTAGACCATCATGCCAGACCTTGTCAAAAGCTTTGGCTATGTCAAATATAATCATCCCGGTTGACTCCCGTTTACTTAGAGCGGTTTGTATCAGCTGCGCAGTTCTGGCTAGTTGTAGTTCCGTGGAGAGATTATCCCTAAACCCGAATTGTTCGTCAGGAAGTATATTTAGGGCATTTACCGCTGTTTTAAGCCTAGTCAGGATTACTCGCTCTGCCAATTTCCCCATAGTTGGGAGCAGACTGATAGGACGCCAGTTCTGCGGAAATGAAGGATTCTTGTCCGGTTTAGGAAACACTACGACTGAGGCCAACTTCCAGGCCTTTGGAAATTCGCCAAGCCTAAGCATGCAATTGATGATGTTAACAATGCATTGGATTGCATCTTCTGGAAGATTACGTAGGCATTTGTTACTGATATTATCATATCCGGGTGCCGATCTGGCCTTTAGACTCGAAATAATACATTTAATCTCATCTCTGGAACACTGTGAGATGCTTTCATCTGACATCAGGTTCCTAAGATTAGCAGCCTCTTCGGCAATATTTTCTTCTACCAGAGAATATAGTCACTATCAGTATTGGGCTGAAATTGCAGCTCCAAAGAATCTGCAAAGGCCTCAGCTTTGGCTATGTCTGAGAAAGCCATGCCGGTAGCTACATAAATAGGCGGCACTACCGGTTTACGTTTAAGCCTAAAATACTTGTTCAAAGCCCAGAAGGTTTTATTACCTGTATCAATTCCTGAAAGAAATTCGCACCATTTATCATTATTATATTTGCCAATTTTTTTCCTGATTACATTAGAGAGACGATTGGCTTCTCTTCTTCTCATAGGATCTCCAGTTATTTGAGCAAATTTTCGAATCGCATTCCTTTGTCTAATAATTTGTTTGATGTAATGCGGCAGATAAAAGTAGCTACTTGGTTTTCTGGTCCTGGTGGTGGAGCTATTATCCAATGCCTCCTTAATCTTGAGAGTGAGTTTTTGGATACAGTCATCAAGATCCTCAGAAGTTACTGGCCAATTATTTATATTTGAAATATCAACCTGATTCTTAAATGAGTCCCAGTTAGTGGTTATGTACGTGAGATTCATGTTGATTGCTGGACAATTTTCAAGAATAAAAAGAACTGGTTTGTGATCCGAGTCCAGTTCATCAAGGACCTCTACGTGCACATTCGACTCTAAGTTATTTGAAATTCCGAAGTCAATGACGTGGCCTGTGATTCTGCCATAATGTGTCGGTTCACCTGGCGCATGAATCTGCCATAAGTGTTCAGTGGCGAGCCCATCAATATCCCTGCCAGCTCTGTTTGAAGTTCTGTCACCCCAACTGCTATGATAAGCATTTAAGTCGCCCGCTAAGAAAGTAGGTATCTCGTTGTTGAGGATAACCTCAAGTTCATTAGGGAGAATTTGCAAACTCGGTGGCCTGTATGCTGACACAAAATTTATATTACCAAGTTGGCTTTCAACCAGTACAGATGTTGTTTCGAGCGATTGTTGGTTGCAAATTGTAGCATGATGTTTAATGCCATATTTAATCACGATGGCTGTGCCACCATCTCTTCTTGAGTTTCTGTCTGATCTGTAAACAACATAATTGGGAATTTTAAAATGGATAGCAGGTTTCAGAAATGTTTCTTGGATCAACATAATGTCAATTTCAAAATCATGCAGGAATTGGATGACCTCATGTTTCTTGTTAATAATGGAATTGGCATTCCACGTCACAATTTTAAGTCGATATGATGACAAACTCATTAAGCAGCTACGGTTGGCACTAAACTTTGTAACAAGGACTCCATCATAGTTTTCATCATTGTATTAAGTTGTATCTGCATATTATTTAAAAGCTTCTCCATGTGGGAGGTAAGCAAGTGGGAATTGGACGAAACTTGCTCAGCTGTACTTCCCTTCTTCAAAGCATCGGCATAAGAAATTGATGGTTGCACTTTAGAACTGACCGTAGAAATTGGTGTGGAGACATTCTTTTTCTTCAGCATTTGCGGAGCGCAAGGGCATCCTCTATAGTTGGCTGGGTGGCCACCACCAC